AGAATCTATGTCTGATACCTTTGCTCTCTGAGGCCTCAGTTTGCTTCTGTTGTCTCTTACATCCCACGTCTCGTTTTCTGTTCTGTTACATTGACTTTTTATATGCCTGCTTATTTGTAGTAGCAGTGGTCATCATACATGAAAATTTTGAGGTTCTAGATGATGTTGCTTTTTTTTTTTTTTTCAGAGAAGGCCCACATTTCTCAAACAAGGTTGGGGAACCAGCAACTTCACATGGAGGGATTTAAACTGTCTAAACTAGAATTTGTTTCCAGGGAGGTCTAGCATATTTCCAGTTCAACCTTGAGCTTGAGATTTACCAGAGCCCTTCCCCATGGTGAGTACTGAATCCCACCTTTGGTGCCTGTAGCTCCTCAGTAAGGATGTCAGAAGTGCCGTTCGGCCTCTCGTCCTTAGCAAGGTCCAGACTTGGCAACTGCAGCTGTAATAATGAGCCACCGCAGTGCGGGGCTCTTCTGGACTTCCTCCCGGTCCCTTCCTCCTGTATCTTGGAGGTCTTCAAGTAGATGTTTTGATACTGCTTTGATATTTGGACCAGGTTTTCTGCTTTTACTGAGTAGAGGGTTGTTCTGAGTGATCTAGATGCTGTTACTGGCTACAGAAGTCCACTTTGTGTCCTCACCCATGTGCTTTCTGAAACACTGTGGGCCAGTAACTTTCTTAGGTGCTTGATTGTATGATTGGGTTCTTTTTAAAGAGGATTTTACATTTAATAGGTGAGTTGATCTTGTTTATGTTAATTAATGTGACCTATAGTTTGTTTTTAGTTCTGTCATAGTATTTATTTTCTTTTCTTTTTTTTTGTTTTTGCAAATAGTTTATTGTCAACTTGGTTTCCATGTAACACCCAGTGCTCATCCCCACAAGTCCCCTCCTCCATGCCCACCTCCCCCCTCCCCCCTCCACACCCATCAATCCTCAGTTTGTTCTCAGCATTCAAGATTCTCTCATGGTTTGTCTCTCTCCCCCTCCCCCACTATTTTCCCCCTTCTTCTCCCCTACAGTCCTCCGTTAAGTTCCTCCTAATCCTCCTATACGTGCAAACATATGATATTTGTCATTCTCTGCCTGACTTATTCCGCTAAGCATAACACCCTCAAGGTCCATCCATGTTGCTACACATGGCCAGATTTCATTCTTTCTCATTGCCATATAGTATTCCATCATATAGATAAACCACATCTTCTTGATCCATTCGTCCGTTGATGGACACTTAGGCTCTTTCCATGTTTTGGCTATTGTTGAGAGTGCTGCTATGAACATTGGGGTACATGTGCTCCTATGCATCAGCACTCCTATAAGTTTGGGACACAAGCTTGCCATAAACCCCATTCCCACCATAGTGACTCAAAACTGAGAGGGAATGGAAAGCCTGGAGCTCCTACCTGAGGAGTAAAGGGTTTAAACTCCACATTGGGTACCCCAACTTTTAAGACATGCATTTCTCACCGGTTGCCTGAACCCCACGTGGGTCCTTT